TTGAAATTTAAACTCTCAGAAATACGATTTCCAGCTTTCTGGGCATCAAAGTTAGTAAAGTCGATCTTTTTGACTCACTGCTCGTAAACGATTTATCTCTGTTTGGGTTACTGAAGTACATCAGCTTCCTTCACAACTGCAAGTGCAAAAACTGTATACAGGCTTGTTGAATGAATTTCCAAATGATGAACAAATAGAGTCTTTCATTTCTTCGATTGATGGCCCTTTGTGTGGCTCACGACTTTCCAAAAATTGCGAAGATGACAAGGTGTTGTCACGAATTCAGACTGTACAGTTTTAGAATCAGTTTGGTTGACTGGCGAAATTTCATCATTGGAATGAAGCGTATCGTTTTCTGCAATAAATATTCATCCGTAAGCAAAGAAGAACACATTGGGTTTAAGAAAGAACAATTCTGAATCGAAATAGATTCATTCAAATACCTGTTCCGGTGCATGGTTTCTTTGAAAAGAATGTAAACAAATCAACCTGTCTAAATGGCACAGGAGCGCTCTGCCGCCATTTTTGCTCGACCGACCACGTGGTAATAGTTTGAAAGCGAGGTTTCAAACTGAAAATGGCTTAATTTTAAATTTGCAATTGTATTTGTCTCAATGTGTACGCTTTTATATTCACGAACAGTCAAGGCAAATATGAGAAATATTTGATTAGTTTATTTGAACTGAGAAATTGGCAGGCTGTAAATACTATAAGAGTTACATTTTTGAAGTTTTTGTCCACAAACACAGCCAAGTAGCCGGTGACTTGATGACTCACAGCTGCCGGAGCTTCGGCGGTAGCTGGCTTCTAATGAAAGCGCTACTTAAGGGCCAGCAGCCAGCCAGCCAGCCAGACACAAGCAAGGTGGGTGAGTAGGCTGTGTGTTGACAAACTACCTGTGGTTGATTGAGTGAAAAAGCTTGTGTATTTTCTTGGAAAAGTGTCAGGGTAGTTGTGTTGAAATTAGCACGGTTTTCATAAATCCAGACATGAATATATTACAAGTTGACTGTTTACATGGATTCACCCACAAAACTCTAAGGCAACTGGTCTAGACTGGTCTGGTTCACTGTGATATTTCTCCATGATCCACTAAACTTCAGGAATTTGGCATGCAGACTTCCAGTGAAATAAAATTCCACTCAGTTTGCTCTACAAAAACATGCCTCTATCATCAGGAGTTAGAAGTGGCCGATAGATAGAAGCCAAAAATGATAAAATACTCTAGTTTATAGAACTTCGCAAAGGACAACTGTATAAATAATAATAATTTAATAATAATGTGAATAAACTACCTGTGAATAAACCTTAAGTTTATAACAATTAAGTGGTGATATTTCCAAGAAGTAATCTGTGAATGGCAATGGCCACTTAAATAAATCATAAATAAAAGAAATAAATATCTTGATTGATCACTCCCCAGTGAGGCTTTTCAGGGCCAATGAAACCAAACGATGCATCAAATAATGCAAATGAACATAACATGGTTAAAAATCCCAACCGGATGGAGGCAGACCAATTGGCTATTTACAAGTGTAGCCAAGGAGTTGAACTAGGGTCTACCATAAAACAACTTCAGCTTCGTGGTCAGAGTGGGACTTGAACCCGTGACCTCCGGATTTCAATTCCGGTGCTCTGGCCACTCAGCCAAGCTGCCTCCTACAGGTTTGACTGCAAGTACTTACTCGCCATTTTGAATCATGCCGAGAAGGCACTCCGTATGGACATGGTGTGAACATGGCAAGATCTTGGACCTGCTGAACACATCCTATGATCAAGTGAAGAATGGAAAGTTCTCAGTGCAAAAAAGATCACTCAAAAACTGTTTTATTCCATGCAACTACAAATTACTGATTAGAAATACACTGACAGTCATACTGATAAATACAACAGCGGACATTTCAAATGAGCATCAAACACACACTTTTAACTCATACAAGGTACAACAGGCAACACAAGAAATGGGAGTCTTAC